GGCCAAGAATTCTTTAAGAAACAGATCTGCATGTCTTAGGGCAAAGGAAAAAGGTGGCTGTGGGAGGAGAAGAATTGGCTGGACCCACCCAGCAGGGTGGCTTTCTTTTGGGGGGAACTCTTGTCCTACCTTCCTGTAAATAGGGTCTAACCCCTGTCTCAATATTTATGGAAAATGAAAACTCCAGATGACACACAGGTCAAAAGTCAGATCTTTGTCAAAGGCCAGACAGAACTTCTTTGGATGAGGCTTTGGATAACCGGAGGGCATATACCTGGGTAGGGGGTGTTGAAAGAGCTCTGCAGCTCAGAGCCTTTGAATATGAAGGTTCCAGAATGAGCAGAGACAGGGATGAGAAACACTCTATATTTCTAAGTATTGGGGCACACTCACTTGACTACATTCTCCTCTCGTGATCTTGGGCATGCACGCACATGCGCCCGGCGTGAATTTAAGCCACCAGGTCCGGGACTCAAACCGCAGTCGACTACATGGGAGTCCAGTGACATAGTCATTACGCTAACTGCCGGTGCCTCTTCTGACTACAAAATAATTTCAACATACGCAAACAGCAGAAGGATAAGAATGATAAGAGGGACGTGGCGAATGAAATTTGTTCAGATAAGTTATAATTCCTTGTGACCGTGCTTGCTTTTGAGAAGGAAAATGGAAAGGGAGACCTTTCTGGCGCTGTCTTACCTACTGGACACAGGCTACATGTTCAGTACAGGTTTTTTTCTTCGGAAAGTGTTAGAAGTTAAGAAATGGGGGACCAGCAGTTGTCATAATGGCAATGTTGCTGGACTCTCATGTAGTCAACCACACTTTGAGTCCTTCATATTTCTTGGGTCTGGATATTTGAATGCCTCTCTAGGTTTGGAAAGTTTTCTTCCAGGATTTCATGGAATATATTATCAATACCCTTATTAGTTTCTTCACCTTCTGGGATATTTATTATCCTGATGTTTGGGTTTTTAAAGGTATCTGGTATTGGATGTGGTAGCGCCTGCCCAAAAAAAAAAAAAAAAAGCAATGCAAAGAAATGGTATTGGACTTTAAGGTGTATCAAGAGAAAAATTCATGGCTCAGTTTTCTTCAGAAGCAGACAAAATCATGGTCTCAGAGTCTAAAAGACCAGCCCCTTGTATCCTCATTTTTCGGAGACATTGGTTTTTAAGGAGCCCTTCTCTTTTAGGGCCCAAAACTGCATGATTTTTCTCATAACAGCCGTGAGGTAAGAGTCTTGGATTTGGTCTTCCGGAGGCTATCTGAAAGGATGAGATTCCTGTCTCCATTGGTGACCAGGAGCTCTTTCAGCATTACGTGAGGCTCAAGGCTCTCAAAAATACTGTAGAAATTGTTGGACTTGTGCTCATCAAAGGGACTGTTGTCACCTAAATTTTACTTCTGACGCCACAGAAATTTCTGATCTCACTGATCTGAGGGAGAGGAGTTTGTCAGAATTCCTGTACCGTGGAGGAATATGGAATACCTATGATCTCCTCCTGGGACACATGACTCTATTTGGGGTGTTTGATGACTGTGCAAAACTACTGTTTGGTCAGTATACCAGTGTGGTCGCACCCGAGGTTGAATCTGAGGACATTTATCAAAGATTAGTAGATCTGGCACTGTCCAGATTGGGTCAGTCTGGGATTTCAGCGCCTTTTCTGTTTCTCTCTGTCAGTTCCCCAGATTGTCCCCTCTGCAAAGTGGACACAGCCATTTCATACCAGCAACCCTTTAATCCTGTCTAGCTGTGCTTTCCTGAACCCGTTCAAGGAATGAGTAGGTTTTCCTTTCAGGGTTGGGGTGTACTTCCTCAGCCAACAAGTCCCTAAGCCTGGAACCTTGACCAGAGATGTAAACTTTCATGGTGTACTTTTCGATTCCTGGAAGGGAATTTGCACAAGTGAAGGTGAGACACTGCCGAGCTGATGTCTATGGAGGAAAAAGGGTGGTCCTTTCTCCAAAATCCCTCCACTCCCAGGCTGGAAGCCTAGGAAGTGTTCGCTGACACAACATCTCCATTGCTTTGGTGTAAGTGGCCTGAGATTTTCTGATATAAGAAATGCATCTTTTTTTTTTTTTTTGAGAGGTTTTTCACTATAGGGTGCATGCGCTCGCCAGACAGAGACAGAGAGACAGAAAGCGAGAAATCACCCCCCCAAGAGGGGATGGCCACGCCGCAATCCCTTCTCCTCCATTCTCCTCTCGGGATCTTGGGCACGCACACACACGCACCCCGCGTGG